GACATCTCAAGAATTCTTTTTTGGCCGTCGGCTTCGAACCCTAATAACATCTTTCCTACATCAATATTAATATTTAGTATTGTTACATCACTGTTTCTGCTAAATGAAAAATCTGTGTACTCTGGCATCAGAAAAACCTGAGAAGCTTGTAAATGATTCAGATTCCTGCCCTCCACCCCCACTCCAGGTCTACTGAATCACAACCTGCGGTTGGATTATTTTTTCTTTTGTGTTTTTTTAAAAAATCTTCCCAGGAAGGGCACCTGGCTGGCTCTGTCAGTAGAGCATGGGACTCTTGATCCTGGGGGGTTGTGATTTCAAACCCCACATTGGGCACAGAGTTTACATAAAATAAATAAGATCTTCCCAGGAGATTCTGATGCAGACAAACACTAGAGAACTTTGATGTAGATAAAACCAACTGATTGCCTTATTTTTCACATTTCAGCAGAGTCAACACTGTTGTCACTTCTACTTCAGTTTGCCCTTAAGTTGTCTTCAGGCAAATTAGGCCTTGGTACTTAAGCAAAGATTCTTCAGAATCTTTGTACAAAGGGAAAGTTATATTATCTTCATAATTTCAAAGTCCAAGAAATTTCCAGTGAGCAAAATGAAAATTATAGTTGGATGATAAAAATGGAACTTGACACTAGTTTTTCAAAGACCATGTTAGCATTTTATTTTTCTATTCCTGACACTCGAATTCATAGGGGGTGAATGATAATAGAACATAATCAAAATCACATACAAACACAATTCAAGAACATTTAACCATCTATTGTAGATGTTCTTTGTAAAATAAAGGTAAACAGAAACATCTTTATATAAATTATGCTTAATCTGTATACACTGTAAAACCATTGTTAAAATTCACACTGAGATGCTAGTGCAAGCAGTGGTGTACAAAAGTGCAAACAAGGTTAGTGATGAAAAACTTACCCTGACTTAACCACTTCAACATACCCCTCATTCAGTCAAATACTGAAGGCCTCACCACAGAAAAACACTTTGATCACTTTCAAAGTAACATGTCTACATTCACCCTGAGTGCTATCACCTCAGTATGTCAACTGATGATGAGTTCAGGTTAGAAGCAGCACCAGGGAATAGAGAAACCCATGTGAAGTTTGCCATTCTGATGTGAATCTTTATACTTGATAATGAAAACAATTCCAAAGACCACTTGTATGTCAAAAGCTGTAGAACTGTCACCCCCTCTTTCCTCAAAATACTTAAAACTGAAATTAATTCGAATTCTCCCTTCCCCATTTAAAATGCATGCTGAAGAAGAATTCATCCAGTCCACTGCAGCTTTTGCAACAATAACTCGGTGTGAAATTACTCAAAAGGTTTTCTTCCCATTTCTGCCCTAAAATCTATTTGGGGCAAGGATGCTCCTGAAACAAAGTTTACTTTGGATAAATTTGCTTACTGTAATTACTTTTGATTCTATTTAAAAGTGTGGTCAAATCCTTGAACAATCAATCAGTGGTATTAAATGCATTTAGTTACTTAATCTGAATTATGAGAACAAAAATGTGTTGGTTCAGAGCTACATCTTCAATAGACTCTGTAGATTCCCTTCATACTTTTTATCTAGCTGTGGTGAGGGAGTGTGTGAGGGGGGATGGTTCAGGGATCAGGAGTGGAAACACGGTTTTAACAAAATCCCAATCACTTTGCACAGAGGCACAGTCCCATATTCCTAGACTGTTCGATTGTTCCTTGGCCGGGGGGGGGGGGGGGGGGGTAAAAAAAAAAGTAATTGTT